CAGGAGCTCTTATCTGGTATTTCTCTTTTTTGGTTTCGGTGCTTTTCAATGGTCTGGGTTATTTGTTATTATCTAGTAGTGCCTCCACCTGACTGATTAAGATAGGGAGGTACAGTAGGGTTCCTGACTATGTAGTTTAACCCTGTCCTAGTATTGACCCAAATCACTAACCTGATATGGCACACACATAAATTTCTGACCAACAATCAGTGTATATTCATTTACAAAGAGAAATATAGAGGGGAAACAGAAGATGGATTTGGAGTGGTTATATCAATAACTCTATACAACCTCCAAGTAACACAACTCCCAGAGTAAACTGCCCTGGCTTCATGATTCTAGTTTATTTCACACTCGTGGGATCCATAGTATGGAGAAACTACGTATCTTAATGAAGCATTGCAGGTGTGAAGATGCTTGTGTGTGGTGAGGTGATGAAGGTGCCGGTTTGCCCATTCTATTCTATGCAGCAGTAATAGGTGTTACAGTGGGAATAAACCTCCACGGAGTAGGGTGACTTATTGGTGTTTTCTAGAGCACTTGTCTTCTCCCAGAATAGTTTGCCAACCCTCTTTCAGGGCAAATAAGTAACATCATTGCAATGGGAGACAGCCAGGGCAGTGTCAGTTCTCAGGCAGGAGAAGGCAGGCAGGGAGCACCTGCACATCCCTCAGGCAGAAATGTCCTCTCCTCATCTTCCCTCTAATTGGCTTAGGGTACGTTTACACTGCACTTCATTTCGAAATAAGCTATTCCAGAATAGTTATTCTGAAATAGCTTATTCCGCAATAGCATGTCTACACTGCAGGGAAACCTCAAAATTAGTCCAAGGCAGGCTTCCCTAATGTAGACATGCTATCTCAATTTAGAGCCCCGGGAGGCACTGGGGAGGAATAATTTAGAATGGTCCTAGGAAGGGGCTATTTTGAAATAGCAGCGGTGGAGTATCTACACATGCCTTATTTTGAAATAGCTATTTCGGAATAGGTGTTTTTCCTCGTAGAATGAGGTTTACAGATTTCGGAATAAGCCGTCTGTTATTTCGGAATTATTTTTAAATAACGGAATAACTGTGAAGATGCTCACATTGTTATTTCAAAATAACGCTAGTTATCTCGAAATAATGGTGTAGTGTAGACGAACCTTCAGTCAGCCTTCTAGCCTTCTATTTCCCGAGGTTCTCCCAATTGCCCTTGTTGAGGGGAGCACACTGCGGTGTTCCTTGTCTCTCATCTACAATAAACTTGGCTCCCTTTTTCATCAGAGCCATTAACCTGGGCTGAAAAATGTTTTTTAAAAAGGAAAGTAACATGTATGAACAGACATTGTTGTAAAATTGTACACTTACTTTACACATACTTATTTGCATTTTCTCCATGTAAAGGAGAGCCTAAATCATCCACTTACTTTTTAATAGCCTGTACATAAGTCTTTTTAAAGATCACTGATCACTCAAAATAGAGATTTGTAGAAAGAGCTTCTCACAACAGACTGATGGAATGTATCTCATAATACTGGGAGTGATGAGAAAAATTTGATATATTAGAGCTTCACCAGTCAGTTTCCACAAAGAATAATTTTCTGGTTTTCTTCACTTAATGGAATTCATTGATCTAACCTGGTTATGACCTGAAAACAATCTCTTCGAGCATTGCCTTTAGGAAGACTTTTCAGGAACTCAAAGGTCAATTGTTAAGAAAACACTTGTACTAGAATCGGAGATGTTTAAACACTGATCATGCAGTCTGAAATAAGCATTCCAGGGAATTGCCTCTCTAAGGGCTAACCTATTGATACAATAGGCACAGTGGTTCAAAGCAGACATGGTTTTATCAAAAAGTATCACTGAGGGAAGCAGGCATCTTTTAATGAAATCAGTTCATAGAAAAGGTTTTTCAGCATACTACTACTTAGCACAATTAATATATTTTACCCAGTAGTGTATAGCTGCCTACTGTTCCAAATTGCTCTGATCAGTAGAAATGAAGTAGTTGCTGTGCATGGATAACAAGCTACTTTATGCTCATTTAATCAAAGTGGTAGAAGAACACAACACTGGGATTAGTTAACAATGTAAAATGGCATAAATACCCTTGGGAGAAAGTAACCTAAATTCTGCTTGCTCTGTTAATATGCCAGATTAAAAAAATAAAAGCAACATCAAAATTCAGGCTAGTTAAAATGAAGCTTTTCAGAGGTATTTAGAGTTTAATTAATAGACTCATTTTGAAAAGTCGATTAGAGCAAAATTGCAAAACAGTAAGTGTTTAGTAAGTAATTGCTCCTGAAGTGGCAATGTTAGAGGAAATCAGAAGTTCCTAGTGCACAACCAGTATAAGATTAAAAAAATAAAAGCAACATCAAAATTCAGGCTAGTTAAAATGAAGCTTTTCAGAGGTATTTAGAGTTTAATTAATAGACTCATTTTGAAAAGTCGATTAGAGCAAAATTGCAAAACAGTAAGTGTTTAGTAAGTAATTGCTCCTGAAGTGGCAATGTTAGAGGAAATCAGAAGTTCCTAGTGCACAACCAGTATAAGATCC